TGAGACTGCTTCTCTGTCAAAATAACTCAGATCCTTTGGGTAGAGTGGAGTATTCTATCCTCACTGATATTTCAAACAGAAATTTTCTGTAAGTCTATGATTTTAGAGAACAAGTTCTCTCGGCACTATGTTCTTTTGTTAATTAATGAAAATACTGTAGTCTTTATAGGTTTGCACCCATCATGGCAAGATTAGCTCTTTGGTATAGGCAAGGAAACTGGTGTTCTCTGGAGATTCTGGGTATTTGCCCAATTTCATACAGTGGTTAAGTGGCAGAGCTGGGGTTCATATGTACCCTATGACCCAGCAATTCTACCCCTAACTCTACAGACATACCTTGGAGATGTTATGGGTTTGGTTCCAGACTACCGCAATAAAGCAAATATCACAATAAAGCGAGTCACACGAATTTTTTGGTTTCCCAGTGTATATAAAAGTCATGTTTACACTATACTGTAGTCTATTAAGTGTGCAGTAGCATTAAGTCTAAAAAAAATACATGCCTTAATTAAAAAATACTTTATTGCTGGAAAATTATCACGAGCAATGATCTGAGCCTTAAGCGAGTTGTAATCTTGTTGGTGGAGGGTCTTGCCTTGATGTTGGTGGATGCTGACTGATCAGGGTGGTGGCTACAGAAGGTTGGGGTGGGTGTGGCAATTTCTTAAAATAAGACAACAATGATGTTTGCCTCATCGATTGACTCTCCCTTTCACAAAAGATTTTTCCTTCTTGTGGGGCTGGCCAGTATAGGGATCTGAACCTTGGTGTTATCAGCACCATGCTCTAACCAAGTGAGCTAACCAGCCAGCCCTTCACAAAGGATTTTTCTGTAGCATATGATGATGTTTGGTAGCATTTTACCCATCGTGGAGCTTCTTTCAAAATTGGAGTCAATCCTCTCAAACTCTGCCACTGCTTTATCACCTAAGTTTCTAAATCTTTTGTTTCACATTCTAAGTCTTTTGTTTTCATTTCAACAGTGTTTACAGCATCCTCACCAGAAGTACATTTCATCTCACGCAATCACTTTCTTTGCTCAACGGTCAGAAGCAACTCCTCATCCGTTAAAGTTTTATCATGAGATTATAGCAATTCAATC